GTTGCTGGTAGAAATATGAAATAGTACACCTGCTTTGGAAAACAGTTTGATAGTTTTCCAAATTGTTAAACAGAGGTACCACATGACCCAGCAATTCCACTCCTAGGTATATTGCCAAGAGACAAAAATTTGCATGTCCATGCAAAAATTTGTACACAACTGTTCATAGCAAAAATTTGTACATAACTGTTCATTATTCAAAATAGTCCAAAAGTAAAAACAATCTAGATGTTCATTAATGAATGGATCAGTAAAATGTGGTAATTCATAAAATGGAATATTATTTGCTGTAAAGAAAGAAATAAAGTTCTGATACATGGAACAACATGGATAAACCTTGAGAAGATTTTGCTGAATGAAAGAAACCAGACACAAAGGCTGCATGTTACATGATTCCATTTATATGAACTGTCCAGAATAGTCAGATCCATAGAGACAGAAATAGATTAGTGGTTGCCAGGGCCTGGAGGGAGGAGAGATCATAGAGAGCGACTGCTAATGAGTAAGAAGGATTTTTTTTTGGGCAGTAATAAATATCTTCTGGAATTAAATAGTGGTGATGGATGTACAATTCTGCGAGTATGTTAAAAACCACTGAATTTCACATTTCAAAAGGTTGAACTTTAGGGTATATGAATTGTATTCTAGCTTTACTAGGATAAGATCTGGAACAAGACAAGGATGTCCATTTTAACCACTTCTATTCAACATTGTTCTGAAAGTCCTAGCCAGAGTGATTAGACAGGAGAAAGAAATGAAAGGCATTCAAATTAGAAAGGAAGAACTCAGGGCCGGGCACGGTGTCTCACACCTGTAATCCCAGCAGTTTGGGAGTCCAGGGCAGGCAGATCACCTGAGGTCAGGAGTTTGAGACCAGCCTGGCCAACATGGTGAAACCCTGTCTCTACTAAAAATACAAAAATTAGCCAGGCATGGTGGTGGTTGCCTGTAGTCCCAGCTGCTTGGGAGGCTGAGGCAGGAGAATCACTTTAGCCTGGGAGGCAGAGGTTGCAGTGAGCCAAGATCCTACCACTGCACTCCAGCCTGGGGGAGATAGTCTCAAAAAAAAAAAAAAAAAGGAAGTCAAATTGTTTGCAGACAGCATGATTACATATTTATATCCCTAAAAACTCAATTTAAAAAAACTGTTAGAACTAATCAACAAATTTTAGTGTTTCTATATGCTGATAGCAAACTATCTGAAAAAGAAATTAAGAAAACAGTCCCACTTACAATCACTACCAAAAAAGTGAGACACCTGGGACTAAACTTAGCCAAGGAGGTGAAAGATTTCTACAATGGGAACATATAAAAGATTGATGAAAGAAATTGAAGAGGACATAAATAAATGGAAAGCCATGCCATGTTTATGGATTGGAAAAAATCGGTATTGTTAAGAAGTCCATACGGGTTGAGCATCTCTAATCCAAAAATCACAATGCTTCAAAATCTGAAATTGTTTTAGTTCTGACATACCACAAGTGAAAAATTCACACCTAATCTCATGTGACAGGTCACAGGCAAAATGCATTCAAACTTATTTTATGTACAAAATTATTAAAAATACTGTATAAAATTACCTTCAGGGTATGTGTATAAGGTATATATGAGGCATAAATGAATTTCATGTTTAGACTTGGGTCCTGTCTCCTAGATATCTCATTATGTGTTTGCAGATATTCCCAAATCTTAAAATATCTGAAATTTGAAAACACTTCTAGTCCAAAGCATTTTGGATAAGGTGTACTTAACCTATACTACCCAAAGCCATCTATAGATCTAATGCAAATTCCTACAAAAATACCAATGGCATTCTTCACAGAAATAGAAAAAGATAATTTTAAAGTTCACATGGAACCACAAAAGACCCCGAATAGCCAAAACAATACTGAACAAAAGAACAATGCTGGAGGGGACTGCAGCAGACGGGTGGGCTCCTTTGACTCCACTTTGCCTCCTAGTCAATGAGTGGGCTATCCTGCTCTCCCATGGCATCTGTATTTAAAAAAAAAAAAAAAAATACTGCAGGTATCACATCGCCTGACTTCAAAATACACTACAAAGCTATAGTAGCCAAAATAGCATCATACTGGCCTGATGTATTAGCCTATTCTTGCATTGCTGTAAAGAAATGTCTGAAACTGGGTAATGTATTAATGTTAAGAAAAGAGGCTTAATTGGCTCACAATTCTGCAGGCTATACAGGAAGCATATTGGCTTCTGCTTCTAGGGAGGCCTCAGCAAGCTTCCAGTCATGGCAGAAGGCAAAGGGAAAGCAGGCACATCTTATGTGGCTGGAGCAGGAGCAAGAGAGGGATGGGGGGGTTGCTTCACACTTGCTACACACATTTTAAACAACCAGATTACAGGAGAACTCACTACTTACTCACTATCATAAGAACAGCACTGAGGGAATGGTGCTAAACCATTCGTGAGAAACTGTCCCCGTGACCCAGTCACCTCCCACGAGGCCCCACCTCCAAAATTGGGGATTGCAATTGAACATGAGATGTGGGTGGGGACACGGATCCAAACCATATCACCTGAAAATAGATATGTAGAACAATCCAACAGAATAGAGCACACAGAACGGTGCCAGGAACATAGGGAAAGGATAGTCTCTTCATAAATGATGCCAAGAAACCTGGCTATCCATGTGCAGAAGAATTAAACTAGATCCCTATCTCTTACCACATACAAAAATCAACTCAAAATGGGCTAAAGACTTAAGTGAAAGACCTAAAATGATAAAACTACTGGAAGAAAACATAGGGGAAATACTTCATGACATTTCTGGGCAAAGGTTTTTTGGGTAAGACCTTAAAAGCGCAGCTGACAAAAGCAAAAATAGACAAATAGGAGTATATCGAACAAAAAAACTCCTTCACAGCAAAGGAAACAATCAGCAGAGTGAAAAGACAAACTACAGAATGGGAGAAAATACGTGCAAACTATTCATCTGACAAGGGGCTAATACAAGGAACTCAAACAACTCAGTAGAAAAAAGAACGAAATAAAAAATGGGTGAAAGACTTGGTTAGACATTTCTCAAAAGAAAACATACAAATAGCCACAGGGATAGGAGAAGATGTTCAACATCACTAATCATCAAGGAAATACAATGGGAACTGCAGTGAGACATCACCTCATCCCGATGATTAGAATGGCTATTATCAAAAAGAGGCCAGGTGCAATGGCTCACGCCTGTAATCCCAGCACTTTGGGAGGCTGAGGTGGGCAGATCACTTGAGGTCATTAGTTCAAGACTAGCCTGGCTAACATGGTGAAACCCTATCTCTTCTACAAATACAATAATTACCTGGGCATGGTGTCAGGTGCTAGTCCCAGCTATTTGGGAGGTTAAGGCATGAGAATCACCTGAACCTGGGAGGTGGACGTTGCAATGAGCTGAGATCATACCACTGCACTCCAGCCTGGGAGACAGAGGAAGACCCTGTCTCAAAAACAAAAAAAAAAAGGAATGACTATTATCAAAAAGACCAAAAAAAAAAAAAAAAATGTTGGCATGGATATGGAGAAAGGAGGACTCTGATACACTGTTGGTAGAAATGTGAATTAGTACAGCCATTATAAAAAACAATATGGAAGGTCTCCAAAACATTAAAAACAGAACTACCATATGATCCAGCAATCCCACAACTGGATATATAGCCAAAGGAAATTAAATCAGTATGCCCAAGAGATATCTGCACTCATGTTTATTGTAGCACTGTTAACAATAACCAAGAAATGGAATCAACCTTAATGTCCATCAGTGTGATGAATGGATTTTTAAAAAGTGATATAAATACACAACGAAATATTGTTTAGTCACATAAAAAAATGAAATCTTGTCATTTGTGGCCACGTGGATGAACGTGGAAGATGTTGTGTTCTATGAAATAAGCCAGGCACAAAAAGACAAATACTGCATGATCTTCCCCATGTGGAATCTAAAAGAGCTGATCTCATAGAAATAGAGAGTAGAATAATGATTTCCAGAGACTGGAAAGGGGAAAGGGGAGGGAGGAATGGAGAGAGATTGGTCAGTGGGTACAAAGTTACAGTTAGGTAGGAGGAATAAGCTCTGGCATTCTATTAGACAGTATGGTGACTATGGGTAACAATACTGTGTTGTGTATTTCATACCCCCTTGCCCTCAAATCCCAGGAGTGTACCCTATTTAGAGCCAGCATCTCCCTGACTTGTGTTGACCTTTCTCAAGACAAGAGTTTTTCAAATCATAGCATTATTTGTAATTGAGAAAAATTGGAAAACAAGCACAAGGTTAAATAAGCAATGGTGAAATACCAAATAAAATATTTTGCAGCCGCTTGGGAAAAAAAATAGCGATTTTGAATGTTCTCACCACAAAGAAATGATAAATGTATGAGGTGATGGATATGCCAAATACCCTGATTTGATCATTGCACAATGTATATATGCATTAAAACATCACACTTGTACCCCATAATATGTATAATTATTTATCAGAAACAAAATACAGATTAATAAGCTACCTATTTTTTTGAAAGCGATTATTTTTATATGCCGTGAATAACAAATTCAAAAATATAATGAAAAGAATAAATGGCATGATAAAATTTAGGAAAATTTTGAGAGTAAGAGGAGGGGAAATTATTCTATAGATAGTAATACATGTTATAGAATTTTAAATAAGAATGTGGAACTGCCATGGAAACAGAAAAGGCAATTTAAAGTCTAGAATGGGCCGGGCGCGGTGTCTTCACGCCTGTATCCCAGCACTTGTGGAGGCTGAAGAGTGGGATCACGGGGATGAGTCAGGAGTCGAAGACCACGGTGAAACCCGGTCTCTGTCTAATAAATTCAAAAAATTCGACACGGCACATGGTGGGCACTGTAGTCCAGCTACTCGGGAGGGCTAAGCGCAGGAGATGGCCTGAACCGGAGCGACGTTGCAGTGAGTGAGATCCGCACTGCACTCCAGCCTGCGGTGACAGCGGACTCCGTTCAAGAAAAATAAAAGTCTAGAAAGAGATCTAGGTACATGTATTAGGAAGGCAATATATAGTACACATAGTGCTTCTCATTGGTGGGGAAAGAATAGATTACCTATTAAGTTGTGATGTTCAACACCTACTAACTTTATCAGTTAATGGTTTAGGTTGAAAATAACAGAAGTTAATCCTGGCAGGCTTAGGTAGAAGAAAATGTTGGGTAGCTCAGAGTCAATGGAAAGCCGAGCTCAGAAGATGGACAGGAACCAAAGGATGCTAAGGAGCTGGGAACACAGCCTTTCTTGTGTCACAAGAATTGGATGGCACTGTGCTGCTTTTGCTGCTCAGGACTCTGGACCCCACCACTCTGCCACCACAACTAAACTCTAATGGTCCCTGTGTGTTTATATCATTCCCTCAACTCAGAGACTGAGGCAGGATTCAAACACAGAGCCTAGGTCATGGGCCTGCATCCTTATCGCTCTGAGGGAAAGGGTAGCCTGCCCACTTTCAGCTTCTATGGTGGGGGGCAGGGCACGATAGCATCTCCCCAGGTAGTAGGTGTCCAAATCCTGGGGAGCCAAAAATGACAGATTTCCACCATTTGGAATGACTAAAATTAGAACCATACTTTATATCATAGACAAAAATAAATTCCACATGGATTCAGAATTTAAATGTAAAACTTGAGACCATAAAAGTACTTGACGGAAATATGCATGAATATTTATGTATTCTTGGTTCAAGAAAGTTGATAAGCAAGATAGAAAAATAAGAAAGCCATTAAAAATATTGATAGAGCATATTAAATGACGCAGAAAGAGAATTATGGTCTGTTGAGTTTCAGAAAGTTTACGTTAAAAAATGGGTATAATGTGATTACATTTTTAAAATAGGATCACATTTTTAAGAAAACACACACACACACACGCATGCATGCACACACACACACACACTCCCAGAGAGGATTAGAATGGCATATACCAGAATATTTTGAGTGGTTATTTCTGGATGAAGACGCTAGAGATGATTTTTCCTTCCTTCCCTCACTATATGGAAGAGTTTCTTTTGTTTTTTGTTTTTTGTTTTCCAAAAGCTGTTATTTCTTTTTAAATCTGAAATGTGAGGGATTTGATGGGTTGGTTTGTAAGAGTATATAGTATCTGGGTCTCCATAGATAAATTTTATGCTAAACTCTACAAAAGTGAAAATAACTTCAAAGACCAGGTAATGAGGCAGTTGTGTTTCAACAATCCCATCCGTTTAAAAATAATGTTAAAGTGGCAATTGGAATTTGCTCCATCTGGTGGCCCTTCAAAAGAAAGAACTGGATAGTGGGTGATGACTCAGAGAATACCCTCCAGATCATGATGTTTCTCTTACCTCCCCCAGTGTCTTTTTTTTTTCTTTGGTTTGTTTTATTTTGTCTTCTTTTTAAGAGAACCCATCTGCTTGACTAGGAACTTACTAGTTAGTATTCAGGGTATGTTATCTAAAGGGAAGCCAGATGCAGAGACTCTGGAGATATTTGTTATGGCCTATGTTTCACCACTTTATGCTCTTACCTACAAAATAGGAGTTGTCCCAACATTTCCTGTTTTAACAACCCTTCGATTCCTGATGTCTTGTTCTCTCTTATCTCAGATTCCTGTCTCAGTAAAGGATGCCTCACCTTTATTTCTCATAAGAGACAGAGCAGGTCTTCCTTCCTAAAGTGAGTCACCCAAGTAAAGGACTGGCTTTTCATGGAAGCCTTGATGGTGTAAAGGATGAGGAGAGACACTTCATGTTGCAGAAAGACTGATCATGGGCACATCATAGAAATAGACCAAGAGGTCTGGAGATAGCAAAGAAAGAATGAACCGAAAAATGGTGGCTTGTTCCTATTCTTGCCTCTTGGTTTTCTTTCTTGTAAAAGAAAAAGAATCATTCTCACTTCCAATTTGTTTTCCTAAATGCCATTAGCCTGTACTAGTAAGAAGATATGCATCAGTAAACACAGCTTGCCAGAATTTCCCAGTCGTAGTGGTCATGTTGAAGAGCTCTTCACATACTTTTTAAAAAGTCCCCTTTTTCTACGATCATTTCCTCAGGGGGCTCATTGGACATTTCTGTCGTGTTTCTTAGTCATAGAGAGCATGACTCTGAACTTCCATAACTTTCAGTATCCATGTCTTCCTACTTCATGTTAATGTGGAAACCCCACTGCTCTAAACTGGAATTAAATTGGTATTAATTTGGCTTGTAACAAAATTTACCGATTAAATTTACCAATTTAATACTTAATAAGTATAAGTAATAATAGTTAATAAGTATAAGTAGTAATAAGTAATGTTTAATACTTAATAAGTATAAGTAATACTTAATACTTACATTGATATTAATTGGCTTGTAGTTTTCACCTGTGAAAGCAGTTTGAGCATATGTGTATTTTTTGAGCTACACATTTCATGAGAACTTTCGTAGTTCTCTCATGTTTACATTTTCCTCTCTTTTTCCTCTTTAGTTTATTTTGACGACTTGGAGCAGGTGATAGCCAGGTGGAAGAAAATGTATATTTCTTTTCTCTGGTAGAAGCTAGGAAGAACTCCTCTTACACTGGTTTCCTTGGCTTTATAGTGTGAGGTTCTGTTTGTTGGTTGTGGAAGCTGGTGATATTCTGATGCATGCAGTACAATACACGGAGTTCAGGGTTGGGAAGTGGCAGGTGCTGCGTTGTTGAGGAAGTCCCTTCCCTCTGGCACTCAGCTCCTGTGGACAAGGAAATATAAGCGCATTGGTAGGAAGGACACACACAGCCAGGAGGACTCTGCTCTGAGTGATGATGGCACCTGTAAGCACAATCCCCTTCCAGCCTAGCAGTCCTCTACCACATCTGGGTACAGTGAGACTCACTCCGGTACTGTTCTTGTTTCTTTCCAGGAGCGGCCTATTGCCAATTCATGGACATGCTCTTCCCTGGCTGCATTAGTTTGAAGAAAGTAAAATTTCAAGCAAAGCTGGAACATGAGTATATTCACAATTTTAAACTTCTGCAAGCATCATTTAAGCGAATGAACGTTGATAAGGTAGGAGACTTGTACCTCCATAAAATGTGTTGTTGTTTCTTAAAATTGTTTTTGTGCATAGATGCAAAAGTCCAGGAGCATACCAATGGGATATATCTTGATATCTCAACCGTAGGCGGGGGTCTGTACCTAGCATAAAGCATCACCCTAAGTTCTTGTATTTTTATGAGGTTTTCATTTCAGATTTTCTAAACTTGTAGCCAGGAAACTAAAAACTAACAGGGCTCACAAATGTTAAAGTGTTATTAGTTATATTTAGCATTGCAGATGAGAAACTTTTATGTTCGCCAGATGCCACTGTGGTTCTTTGTATTTTGTTCCTTCAGAGAAACATCGTGTCATGGCAGAAACAGCATGGGTTTGAATCCCGGCTTCATGACTTGAGCAAGCTATTTAAATTCTGAGTCTCAGTTTACCCATCTGTACAATGGGACTAAAAACCCCTTATTCATGGTTATGAAGTTGACATGAGAGACAGTGTCCAGTATAGTGTGTGCGCTCAGATTCTCAATGTCCATAATTTCCCCTTTTTTCTCCCATGAATTATTATACTTTTGTCCTGGAGTGGTACAAATGGCCTGGAGTCCTTTTTCTCTCAGTAAGGGATTATTGCTAAAACTCAGTCTCTTTCTGCATGTTTACTGCTATTTAAATACATACTCAAACGATGTTCCTTATTTAGGAGATATCTCTGAGCATGAATGAGCTTGGAAAGAAATGAATTTTGAATAAGGGGAAAGAGATAAACCAGCAGGGGAGAAATGGAAAACTGTTCTTTGCATAAACAGGGGTAATGAATAGGCTACGGAAATGAAAAATAAAATACCAGATTATAAAAGATAGAGATTAAAGGGAAGTTTGATAAACTATGTATTTTGTAAGCTAAGGCAATTAATATCTTCTTAATGACATTCTTATCAATATAGTAAGAAAATCCTGACTTCTCATTTTCTTGGAATTTTTATTTCAAAACATACATTCTCTTTAACATTGTAGCCCTTTGGATTATTTCCAACTTTATGTCCTTTGTCATGGTTAATTTCCAATTAGCTCTTTCCATACGTATTTAAAACTAGGGATGTGTAGGTTCTCCTTACTTTTATAATATCTTTTGTGTCTTTTTTATTCATTTCTCTATACATGCTTCTAGATTAGAAAGAAAAGAAACACCTTTTCATATGTTTATTGATGGAACTTGTTATACATCAAATTAGTGGGTTCCATATCGCTCTAGAAGTATGTACACACAGAATGGATGAGCAGTTGTTAAGAATGTTGAAGAAAAAAATTATTGCAGTGGAAGGAGACTGGCCATGACGGCCTTTGTTAGCCTCTCTAGCTTTAGTATGCAGTGATTCGATCCAAAAGTCCTGTGAGAAACAGCATTAAGTACCCTCATTCATGTGTGTCATAGCCTGATGGCATGATGGAAAGTTCTGTGCTTTTGCTTGCCACCTCGGATTTTGAACTTTTGCCCCTGAAGCTTACATGTTGATAGGGAATGCAAAATTAGGTCAACAGAAGTAAATGCCTTCTTTTCACAGCTAATATACCACCAGTGTCTAAAACTATTTTTAAATTTTCTTGTCTGGCAATAGACAAAATATAGTATTTGTTAGTTAAAAGTTTTTTATGCTCTAAAAAGTTGATTTCTAACAATCAATATCAGCATAAACAAAAATTTTAAACTCAGAAGACATAAAAGTGATTAAATAATACAATTAAAAGTCAGTTAAGGCTGAGAGCAGTGGCTCACACCTATAATCCCAACACTCTGGGAGGCCAAGGTGGGAGGATCACTTGAGGCCAGGAGTTCCAGACCAGCCTGGTCAACATTGCGAGACCCCATCTCTACGAATTTTTTTTTTAATTGCCAGGTGCAGTGGCACATACCTGTAGACTCAGCTACTCAGGAGGCTGAGGCAGGAGGATCTCTTGAACCTACGAGTTAGAGGCTGCAGTGAGGTATGATCGCACCACTGCACTCTAGCCTGGGCAGCAGAGTGAGACTCTGTCTCTGAAATAAAAAAATAAAAATTTTAAAGCAGTTGAGTGCACATGTGGCAGGAATTCCTCCTTGTAAGCAGACTTCACTGAAGTTTAGGGGAAGTGAGAGAAGAGCAACATACCACCACCAAAGTCTAATTACTGGAAGAATGTTCATGAAAAATATGGTCTCTTCCAAAAGATTGCTTCTCTTTCTTTTGCTCTGTACTTGGTTTAGTTTCTATTTTAGCTACATAAAAAAAATTTTTGCAAAATTTATTGCTAATTATTTAGTTTAATGCATGCTTCAGTTGCTTTTTTCTTCCCAGTTTTCATTGATATGTAAGGTCTTTCTACATTTTCTAAAGCTAATTATTTAGTTTAATGCATGCTTCAGTTGCTTTTTTCTTCCAAGTTTTCATTGATATGTAAGGTCTTTCTACGTTTTCTAATGTGGTCCTATTGATACATTTTAAGATGTCAATGATACATAGCTCCCATAGTGGCAAAGTCTTATTCAAAGTTTAATTTCTATAGCTTCCATTCATATTATCACACAGCAAAGCTGTGAGCTGTGTGCTTGTCTGAATCACACAATCACACACTCACACACACAATCTCACACTCTAGCTTTGTAACTGTCTCGTGATTCACATTCAGCTAGTATTCCCACCCGAAGATGTAAAAGGTAAGAATTCAGTGATAATATAATTCACTTAGCTGGATACCTTTCCATTTTCTTTAAAAAAAAAATAGCGAATTACACCAGTCAGAATGGCCATTACTAAAAAGTCAAAAAACAGGTGCTGGTGAGGTTGTAGAGAAAAGGAAATGCTTATACACCATTGGTAGGAGTATAAATTAGTTCATTGTGGAAAGCAATGTGGCGATTCCTCAAAGAGCTAAAAACAACTACCATTTGACCCAGCAATCCCATTGTTGGGTATATACCCAAAGGAATAGAAATTGTTCTACCATAAAGGCGTATGCATGTGAGTGTTCACTGCAGCACTATTCACAATAACAAAGACGCGGAATCAACCTAAATGCCCATCACTGACAGATTGGATAAATAAAATGTGACACATATACACCATGGAATACTATGAAGACATAAAAAGTATCTGTTTTTATTGATTTAAATCTTATTCATCTGCACTGTCTAGTAACTATAATCTTTATATGAGTTTATCTCAACACAACTGGGCTACATATTACAAAGAAATTTAAAAAGTTTATCAGCCAGGCACAGTGGCTTACGCCTGTAATCCCAGCACTTTGGGAGGCCGAGGCGGGTGGATCACCTGAGGTCAGGAGTTCAAGTCCAGCCTGGCCAACATGTGACACCCCGTCTCTACTAATAAACAAAAATTAATCCCAGCTACTTGGGAGGCTGAAGCAGGAGAATTGCTTGAAACCAGGAGGTGGAGATTGCAGTGAGCCGAGATCGCACCATTGCAGTCCATCCTAGGCGACAAGAGTGAAACTCCATCTCAAAAATAAATAAAATAAAATAAAAAGATAAAAAGCTTATCAGTCTTGAAATAGCACAACATCCCAGGCTTCTGTTTTTCCGGAGAGATGCTTTGATGATAAATGTATTATGAGTGGGACCAGCCCCTCTTGACAACTGAGAATATTCCTTTTGTCTGGCTTGTTCAGAATTATTAAATATTCCAAGAAAACCGACAGTGATGTTTTGGTTTAGTTCTTTTTTTTTAGTTTTCAATTTTTGTGTGTACATAGTAGGTGTATAGATTTATGGGGTACCTGAGGCATTTTGCATGCAATGTGAAAGAAGCACATCATGGAGAATCGGTTATCCATTCCCTCAAGCATTTATCCTTTGAGTTACAAACAATCCAAGTACACTCTTTAAGTTATTTTAAAATGTACAATTAAGTTGTTATTGCCTATAGTCACCCTGCTGTGCTATCAAATAGGTTTTATTCATTCTTTCTAACTTTTTTGTACCCAATCACCATCCCCAACTCCCCCTTTCCAGCCACTGGTAACCATCCTACTCTCCATGCCTATGAATTCACTTGTTTTGATTTTTAGATCCCACAAATTAGCGAAAACATGTGATGTTTGTATTTCTGTGCCTGGCTTATTTCATTTAGCATAATGATCTCCATTTCCATCCATGTTGTTGCAAATTACTGAGTCTCATTCTTTTTATGGCTGAATAGTACGCCATTGTGTATATGTACCACATTTTCTTTATCCATTCATCTGTTGATGGACACTTAGGTTGCTTCCAAATCTTAGCTATTATAAACAGTGCTGCCATAAACTTACAAGCGCACGTATCTTTTTGAGATACTGTTTTCCTTTCTTTTGGGTATGTACCCGAACATGAGATTTGTAACTCACATAGTGATTTTTTATTGCAGGTAATTCCAGTGGAGAAGCTAGTGAAAGGACGTTTCCAGGACAACCTGGATTTTATTCAATGGTTTAAGAAATTCTATGATGCTAACTACGATGGGAAGGAGTATGATCCTGTAGAGGCACGACAAGGGCAAGATGCAATTCCTCCGCCTGACCCTGGCGAACAGATCTTCAACCTGCCAAAAAAATCTCACCATGCAAACTCCCCCACAGCAGGTATTGTCACCATGAGATTGCAGGAGTTGCTTTTATCTTAGAGAATGGCTCAGACCCTTCTGTGCTTTACCATGTGTTTCTGATTGATTCTTCCCAGCCATCAATATTTTAATGCCTTTGGATGGTTTCTACTGTTGTCTGTTTCACCACATTTATCTTCCTGTGACCCATTTGTCATTAGTCTAACCATCTTCATTTAAACTATTAAAAAGGCAGAGCTATTTGCATTACATCACTGAAGGTGGTAGTGAAAATAATACTCCCAGGATAGATTTCTTTTTCCTTTTAGTTTTTCAAGAAATTTCAAGTAGCCTGTTTAGATTTTGACTGAAGTATTTTTACTGCTTAATTGCTGACAGTACAGAGCAGAATATGAACTGAACTATGTTGTTAAATACGGATCATCATCTCTAACCCTTCATGAACTGTACATCCTATCTCCTCTGTAGGCAGTGGCAATTTTTAGGTAGTAACATTCAGCAATACCCTATTTATCCAGCTTTGTCCAAAAGTGAAGTCGTTGAGGAAAAATACCTGGAACACTAAAACTTTAAAAACTTCTGTGGACAAAACAAAAAAAAAAACTTTCTAGAATATATTATAAACATCCTTGCCATAAATAGCAGGCTTTACCAAGCAGAATGTGTTCTTATAAAATTGGGTCATTATTATAAACACGAGTTGGGTACTGCACAATTAAACATTAAATCATCCAAAATCATGTTTCCATCTCAGTTATGGAACCCAGTGTTCCAACTTGTCAAATCAGTAACCTTAATTTTGTAAATAAAACAGATTTCTTATTTATGCCCAAACTGCAATCAGAATGGAGTACAAATGGTTAACAGGACCACATAGGTGATAATAGCTTTGAAATCACAGTTTTGCTCACTGTTAAGCAGCATTTTTATCATCTTACTTCTGGATTTATGGCTGTATTCCAGCTGGACTGACACCATTGGAAAACTGACATGACTTTTTGAAATGTTTTTAATATTTAAAAATAAATATTTTAAAAATATTTTTAAGGATAACAGATGAATACTTATACTCACTAGTATGAATTAGATGAATTCTTCATCTGCATTAAAATAGTACTCATGTAGATGAAGAGAAATGAACAACTCTGGAAGAGTTGTTAGGAGGCAAAATAGACTGGATGTTGGTAATGGCTGAATACTGGGATAAAAGAGAAGGAGATGTTAAACATGGCGTCTTACACAACTGGAAGGATTTGGGATTTTGTTCAAGAAGTGCTGAAAGAGAACCAGATTTGGGAAGAAATCTTGAGTTTGTTTTGAACATACTAAGTTTGAGATTCATTTGTGACATCTAAGAGAAGATCAACATAGGCAATTTTTGTGTTGGGGGTGGTGCACATGTGTGTCTGGAGCTCAAAGGAGTTATAAGCTAAAGAGAAACATTTGCAATTCTTCCATATATTGATGTAATGGATGCTGGAAGCGAATACTGAGTGATAAAGGGTAGAGTGCCTTGAGAAACTTGGGCATTTACTGATTGAGTAGAAGAGGAAGGGCTTGCATAGGAAGCAGGGAAGGTGCCAGAAAGAATGAAGGAAACTAGGAAGTGATGTGCCAGGGAAGCAGAAGGTAGGGAGCATAATGGTCAACAATGTCAACATCTGTTGAGAAGTCAAGTTAAATGAGGCCTGAAAGAGTTTATTAGATTTCTCAATTTGAATGATTTCTCCATTCAGTAGAATGGTAGAGCCAGGAATGGCTTGAAGACAAAGTTGGAGGAAGGAAATTGAGACAGTGGAAAGATCTGACTTTGGAGCCATAATGGGTGAGCCTATATAGAATAAAGAAAACTAAGCACAGATCTTTGGAAATATATACATTTAAGGGGGAGGAGGAAGAAGAGGAAGCTGCAAAAAAGATGAACATCAGGAAGAAAACCAGGAGAGCTCAGCATCAGAGAACAAAAACAGTAGGAAATTTGTAGACAGAGGGGTCAACAACAGTGCCAAATATTAATTGTGGCGATATCAAATAGGATGAAGCCTGAAAAATAGGCCAAAGTCTGACTCCTAGGAGGTGATTAATAGTCCCTCAGAGAATTGGTCCATTAAAATACTGAGGGCATAGGCCTAGATTGCAGCAATTTAACAAGGGCTTGTGGAATTGGAGACAGTAAGAGTATATTCAACCTTTAACAAATGTGTCAGGAAAAAAAATGGGGGACAATAAACACATTTGGTTTGTGTAGGGAAAAGAGTGATAGCAGCTTCAGGAAATAAGATTGGAAGGAAAATGGTATTCTTTTTCAACTGTTCTTGTTTGCTTTTAGGATAAGGCAATATAAACAGGTTTGTAAGATGGGAGACATGTCTGTGGAGAAGGAATCATTGCAAATAGGAAAAAGAGGGGAAACTGGAGTATGACGCTAAAGCCGAAGGGAAAAGATGAGATGTCAAGGGCATAGATAGAGGGTTAGAAAAGAAAAGAGAGGATATTTATTTTCTTGGAGCCAAAGTGATAGGAGAGGCTGTAAAAATTAAGCCACAAAGATTTTGGGAAGCAAACCTTGATGGCAGTTCAGATTGGCCTTCAAGTTTTGTCAGCAGTTTTCATCAGTCTAGGAGCTGGAGTGGAGGAAAGGGGGATGCTGTGCCCTCTCCAGAGTCTGGGATTCAGGAAGCATGTGGGGTGGGAGGAAATAAAGGTAAGAAAATCAAGGGTGTCTGATATTTCTCATCTTAATGTCATTCTCTACAGTTGTGAGTGATGAATAGCTTGGACTCAAAACTCAACTGCCATTTTTTCAAGTTTTCTGTGGTGATATTGGACAGACCTCAGAATATTTTCTTCCACAGTCATAACCTGTCCTTAATTTTTTACCCATTGGCACCAATACTCCTCCACACCCAGACAGCCTGTTACTGTGCTGCCTTGGCCTCGTTTTCTAGAAATTCCCTCATCTGTCTTTCACAAAAGCCACAGAGAAACGTGTGCCATTTTGATAGAATGTCCATGAACCTGAAAGAGAAATATATATTTTCTAGAGCTTAACCTCTTGGGTGATAATGCTCAGGAAACCCATTAAAGTCAATAGATAATAAATTTTATTTTTAATGTTCTCGAAGGCAGTAATTTCCTGAGACCATGTTCCTGATACCTTGACCATGTTTACATTATTGGCATTAATCAGGGAGAAATGATATTAGAAGTCAAACAGCCATTCCCTTTTTAATAAAATATGCTCTCGTTTTTGGGCATCGTGGGGTAGTAAGACTATACTGGGGATATATCACATATAGAGTGTTGTTATTAAAAGCCATGATAGGAGAAAGGCTCCTATAAATGCATTAAGACCTCATTTTTTCTAGAAGTCATATATCCAGTTATTGGGAATACAGCCGAGATAATGTAAGCCAAAATGTCTTCTAAGAGTCAGAATAAGTGTTGTAAAATCTGTGCTGTATAATGTGTGCACTTCAGTCTTCATTCATGAGAGTTTCTGAGGTACTTACTCAGGGTGTGTTTGCTCTTTCTTAATTTAGACATAATTGTAATGAAGATGGGGATGTGGTTTCTTAGCACATAGCTCATTAGGGCAAGGAATATACAGGTATCAATAGAAAGTACAAACCTCAGTTAAAAAAAAAAAATACTTAGCAAAACCTTACTAAAGAGCCTAGTAGTATCCTGGGATCTGTATTACAAGATCAAATCGTTCCATTGCCTCTCAGTAGTCTTTAGTATATGTATGACACCAGCAGGCAGTGATCAATACTCTCATAGGTCCCTTACACTTCTTAGAATTGTCATAATTCTCTGAATATTGACCCTGATTTATTTCCCTCATGAACTCTATTTTTACATTATCCAAACTGGCGCCCCCGCTTCTGGTAGTCACTCAAAGCCATTCTCTTTATACACAGTCTGCTTTTGTTCATCTGAAATTTAGAGCAAATGAACGGTGATGGTCAGCAGTCTGGAAAATTCACGTATCTGTATCACATTTATCTCACAGTGTTGCCAGGTCACTAATATATAGCAGTAATTTTGTTCCCACCTCTAAGCCTTGGTCATTTCTTAATTATCTGCATTAGTGTACATAAGCAGTGGTTGGTATAATTGAAAACAGGTGATGGTCCTTAATTTTTTTTTATTTTGAGTTTGGAATACTTGATTTATTTTTTTAGTGGATTTATCTCTCCCCCAAAATTTCCTCAGGCCAATATTAAAATTAGCTTGCATGTCCTAACTATTATATAGTAAGAGCAGTAAGTGGCAGCTCCCAAACATTTTGTATGACAGAGGGACCAGATTAGAGTGGAAAAAGTGATCCTGGAGTAGATTGTCACCATTATGATAATTAAGAAAGGACTTAGTCTACATTAGCAAGAAAAAAAAATGTGCTTTTACATCGTACAGACTACTTATATAAGCATGCAGCAGAGATTGCTATGTATAAAATAGATATATTGTAAATACTTAGTGCATCTTGTTTTTGTAGGAACATGCTAGATTTTTCAACCATTTTGATACAGAGAAAAGCTTTTCTTTATGATTCAGAGAAGCCTTATAATAGTTTGGCTGTGGCTTCTCTGTGCGTCGTTGGGGACTTTACTGTAACAAGCTTACTGCATAAGCAGAGGCTGTCACCTAAGGGCAAATGGCTGCTTGGTAAGTTTTATTGTCTACATTCTGAGGAGTTGCATCTTGAATTGGTTTTAATATACCAACCAGGGACATGTATTAAAATACACATTTTCATAATGATAGATATGTAAGTACATGCATCATTGTGACTCATGATGTTTGTAAATTTATTGCTATGAGCCATATCTGCAACTCAAGATAACTGTTGGTGCGGATTGGTTTTTATGTGTGAACACTTACTAAACATAAAAGGAAATTCAAAGTTATGTAGTTACTATAGCAACGACAGCTTAGACACATTGCAGATTCACATACATTCATGTATTTAAATCAAACGCCCATATATAAATATAGTGTGATAGATTTAGAGTT